ATAATATATAATTTGTCATGCCAAATATCCATTATCCAATAATGAAAATTCGCGGGTAAATGTTTGAAGATAACATTAATAATAAATAAAATTGTTTTTGGCCGCAGGAACGCTAGCTGCTATTCTCACACAGGCCATCAGCTGTTTATGTACGAGAATCTTTGGGCATCATTTCTGTTGTATAGTTTTAATGGGTAGTTTCGTAACCTGTTTATAAGTGCCTATAAGTAACAGAAAATAAAAATGCATGATATTGTATACGAATCTATAAACTTTTATCACAGAACGATTTATAAAACATGGCTGTTATCTTCTACTTCTATAGTAGGTACAATAAAATTGGTACCTTCGCGAAAGTTGTTCCTATAATTTAAGAAATAGGTAGTTGGGATAAAATATAGGTMATTTATTTATTCTAATTTTCAGGTTTTTTGGTTTTTTTTTAATTGATTCAGAAAAGTTGAATAATTAATATACCTTCATGGCACAATTCCACGATATTTATTAATTACCTACTTATAAATAGCTTAAATAGAAGCCTCGTGCTTTGGCAAAAGTGCCAAAAATGTATTATTATGTAGATAGGTATACGTATACCTTAGTAAAATATGTCTATATGTAGTTAACTTAATAAATTGTGACTGAAATTGCAAACTCTATAAATTTGCAGCATTTTCTTATGTCTCTTCTTAAATATAGTATACTTGGTACTTACGTAAGCCTATAGTTAGGTAATTATATGTATAGTAAATTACTACAGTAATACCTATTATTACATATTTTGATCCAGTGAATCTACATAATTTAGCAGTTTCAATCTTCAATAATTATTTTAACCGAAATCTACTTATATAGGATATAGATATTTTATTTTACTCTTTTTGTACTACCTTTTAATAAATATTTTAAATTTTCAACTTTTATTCTAGTTTTTTATTGTACAAAAACAATTGTGTATGTGCAAGTAAAAAAGWTTAAACCATATTTAATTCAAGATTTTCGTATGTTATATTTACAAGAATTAAAAATATATTCCATTAAAATACATGGTTCAAATTTTTGTTATAACCGTTTAAAAGTAAATTTAACGAAATACATATAAAATCATATAAACATAATATAAATTGTACCTAATTATTGTAGACTGTAGTCAAAAATAGAAAATCTCTTCAACATTCTCGAGAACCTCATCCCTATAAAGGGTACACGATATACTAACAAAAATATGAATATAATATTAAATATAGAAGACATGCCTAAATTTGCTAAAATTGTACATATATTTTTCATTATTGGATGTGATATTTCTTTTTCTTTTTTACTTTTTATTATAAATCTAGCTCAACAATTACAGTACTTTAGAGTATTAACAATCAATATAATAAGTATAAAAAAAAGAAAAGAAAACAGTAGAATAATAGTAAAATTAAGTTATAAATAGCTATAGGTATAATAAATTATACATAAGTATAAGTATACGTAAGTCATAAAGTCTGACCAAGGGATTAGGGAAAAAGAGTGACTAATAAGTTTTAAGTTTATTTAGTCAAAATTTTAACTTCAAATGCTAATTAAAAAAAAATTGTGCCTATGTATTCTTATATTTTTTTAATTACTATAAGAATAACTTATATGGGAAACTTTGTATTAAATTTTCAAGTATTTTGATTGGGCCAAAAAAATTTTATTGACACTTCAAAAAAATTGTTCAGAAAAATTGAAAATTTCAGTTGTCTATAAATATCTCAAAAAAAGTCAAAATATTTTGAAAATTAAATCATGTAAAGAAAATCCCAATCTAAATAACTGGTAAAAATTTCAAGTATATCTACGACTTATGCTTTTTGAATTATAACAAATATTTAAAATCGTTTGAGGATAAATCGCTATCGTTACGCTATTTCGTAAAAATTTAAAATTCAAACGCACTTAAAATTTTTCCTATA